AATTTATATATTTTAATATTATTTCACATTTCATTTGCAATGTTGAATGTTCAATACAAAGTTCAGTTTGAAAGGATGTACTTGAATTATTATTATATATTATCATTATGTCTAAAATGGTCTTACAACGGTGCCGACAATATTATCGTTTATCGCAATAATTTCCGGGAAAATGTATCGTCCAACAACCGTGTGTGTGTGTGTGTGTGTGTGTGTGTGTGTGTGTGTGTGTGTGTGTGTGTGTGTGTGTGTGTGTGTGTGTGTCTCACTCGCTGAGCAGGGCCTTGAGGTGCAGCTGTAGGCTTCTGATGGAGGTGTGCAGGGTGTTGAGCTCTCTGCATTTCTCCCTGACTGTCCCCGTCTTGTCGGAGCCTGTCGGTGTCCTCAGCTGTGTCTCAAAGTGTCGATGGAAGTCAAAGCTGCGCTGCACTTCGCAGAGGCAGCTGGCCAGAGCGTGATGGAGGGGCTCCGTCACTGCCACAATGGAGCGGTGCAGCGGGGGGGCAGGAGGAGGAGGAGGAGGAGGAGGAGAAGGTGATGTGTCTCCGTTGGGCGTACCCTCTTCTGGATCCTCGATTCTTCGGGGTGACAGGAGAAGAGCCATGCGACGGAAACATTCAGAGCTCTGTCCCACCCACAGCTGGAACAGCATCTACAGGAGAACAATAACACATCACTCTTAGACCTTTTTGGCTTCTCTAACTGTCCGTTTTTTACTGTGAGAAAACTACATTTCTGCAAGACATTGAGCTTACAGGATAGATACACGGATGAAAAGGATTAACACCAAGCTTTTTCTCTTTCTTGTTGAAAGCTAGATGAGAAGTTCATTACCGCTCTCATGTCTGTAAGCCGAGGCCGTGGAGGGATTACTGAACGGGCCTACAGGGTAAAGGTCCAGGGGTCTAAAGTTTCATGGTCCTACGTGCATAACCAACCACAAGTCACTCAAGTAGATGCTTACCAACCAGGAAGAGAGATTCATTATAACTAAAAAAAAACATAAGGCGTCTACAAATAGACAGAAAACAACTTCAAAAAGACTAAAAGAAGATATAATCAGACCACAGAACACACTAACTGAAGAGAAGAATATGCATAAAACAATTACAAAAAGAGGCTAAACATCAATTTAGTCCATTTGATGTAGGATAGTCAATGGGCTCTTTTGCATGTTTGTCCACAATTGTCTCATAATCCACTCATGGCTGAGGCTACCAGCAACCTCTAAGCTTAAGTAGATGGGAAACATCTGGCCCTGCTAGCCAGCCTTACCTTCAGGGCCGGCAGGCTGTAGTCGTCCGTCAGCTCCTGGGCCTGCTCGTCCCCCAGGTGCTCGATCCCCAGGCCGAGCCCCAGCTCCTTCAGAGGCACCGCAGACACGTAGTTGGTCACATTATCAATCTCAGAGTTCAGAGGGAACGTTAGGAGGAGTTAAGGACTCATTGCACTTTCACGAAAACAATGTGAGCACCTATTTGCGTCATGAAGTTGAACTTATACCAGTTATCGAGTGTTTCCTTTCAGGTATAAGGATATGCCTTGAGCATGTGACAGGTGGCTCTACGTGAGGCTCTGAAGGCGGTGCGGAGGGCCCGGTACAGAGCCTTCCTCAGTCCGATCAGCTGCTGGCCTCGTGGCACCACCCCCGGTCCCGCCCTGCTAAAGGAGCCGGCTGCACTCACCCTGTCGAGCAAACTTGACAAGTGAAATGTGATACAACTGTGGAGACGTCCCAAAGAGGCGAGGGGCACACACAACACTGAACAACACATCACTGAAGATGCATGACAAAACACATGCATGACAAAACCAACAAACTGAGACAACGAGCACGACACAGGGCACAAGACAATATGACATGCCAGTAAAGGAAGTATGTACTTACTTAGCTTAGCAAACACAGCACCTTTGTTCCAATAACTCAAAGCTAACTTTTTTTAGGAAGGCATTTTAAGGGTTAAGGGTTGTTCTTCCAGTTTTTCTAGTTTGTAATCACTTTTTGTTCTCCTATTTTAATATAGGTTATTATTCATGTCTTATGTTCTCTGTTTTTATTTGCTTTTTTATGTATACAATTGTATCTTTTTCAATAAGGCACTTTACAAGTGCTTTACAAATGAAATTGATTATAATTTAATCAAATATACACTTAATTGCCTTTGTCCAGGACATACCTTGATCTAACATGCCAGAGGCTGTTCAACTTGGAGACCTGCTGCGGATATGGGTACGGCCTGGCGCGAGATTTATGGTGGTATGGTAAATATGAAAATACAACTGCTGCTGGTTATCTAATCTTAGCTAAGCTGTTAGATCCTTTTCCAGGATCAACAGCTTGCCAGGCTGTGTCCAAATGTAGCAAAATCCACCTAGCAGCACATCTAAAGCTAACTTATAAACATGGGATATTAGTCATTTGTACAAAAACTGAAGTTGCAGTAGTGTGTTGTTATAGATACAGCCTCATCTTTAAATACAGAGAGACAAATAGGTCCCTAACAAGTGCTGACATGAATAAAAAAACACCTACAGACACATCACCTGATGTAAACTAATTAACTGAGCTAGGATGAAGCAGTGACAGTTAGAGACATGACAAGAACATTATGTGATTTGGTGTAATATAGAATTAAAGGAGCAAACTTACAGGGTGAACCCTCTGGAGATGACCTCCGTCTCCTGCACCAGGCGCAGGGCTTTGCGGGACAGCCCGGTCAGAGTCTTACTGTTGTGGACGAGAGTCTGAAGCTGCGCGGCCCGCGTGTGGACAGCTCTCTCCATGCGGCCCTGTCTCCACAGCGTGACCCCCCTCAGCCCCCCCCAGCCCAGCAGAGCCAGGCCCCACGGGGCCGCAGCCAGCGACCACAAGCCCCCAGACACGGAGCAGAGCCCCAGCAGCACCACAGCCAGGCCCACCAGACCCGCCATGTCCCTGAGGGAGGAGAGCAAAGGAAAACGTATCAGTTTTACATGTCAAAGGTAATTAGCAAGACACAGGGAGTCATTTGCTATAATGACGCCATTACTCGTTCATTTAAGCCTATCTTTAAACTTAACAGATCACTGTAGTATGGGTCATTTGCATGATCGTTGGTTACCATAAATAGATCCTGGAAAATGTACACATTAACACAATTGGATATCAGGATATGGATCCTGATGTAGCTTAAGATCTTGTTCCACTTGTTCCACAGAAATAAAATCCAAAAAGACAATAGGTTTGAAATGATATTATAAACTATCATACTATGGAACAAGCTTCCGGACGGATGTAGTAAAGGATACATTTGATTAGATTCAATTTAGTGATCCCCAGTTGGGATATTGTAAATCTAAATCTTGATTTTGGAATGAGAAATGTTTCATTCCAAAAAGTAGAATTGTTTACATGTTTACTTTTAGTATTGTTTTAGAGGCCATAGTTTCAGTTGGTGCTTTCATTGTATTAGAATGCATGATATTCTCTGGTCTGTTAGCTAACTCAGTACCGTAGGGAGGGCTTGGCGATGAGGCTGGGTCGGGGCAGAGTGCTCGCTCGGCTTGATGATCCGGAGGCAGACGAGCTGAGGGTCAGCAGACTGGGGTCCAACAGCTCGATGAGCTCCACGTCCTCCTGCAGCAGCACATCCTGGTCCAGAATGCACTTCACCGAGTACTGGCCGAATACACCATCCTACAAGAGAAATAGAAACGCATGAAAAAAAGAAAGCGCATTTAAATATAAAACTAAGTGTAGTGCTGGTTTTAGTGCCAGCATTCCTTTCCATTTCAAATGCTACCTACCAGCTGCTGGCCCATCTTACGAGATGCAGCCTGCTGATTCGGACTCCATCTCCACAACGCTTCAGCCAGTCTCCATAGGCGACCGCCCTGCAGATCACACAAAGGGGACAGGTTAATTTGCTGTCAATTAGGTAACGTGACATAACAGTTTTGCAGGGCTTTCTATTAGCCGCAGTAAATCAACAAAATATATTCCATTGAAGAACGAAATGATTCACCTGAAGATCTCAGTCATTCTGCTGTGCTTCTTTTAGCTTGGGTTTATTTTCCAGGAATCACACACCCATTAAATAACAAACAAGCACACACTCACAGTGAAAAGGAGTATCCCAGGAGACCATCTCATTCAGGCAGCAACAATAAGGGAAATGTGTGTGCGTAAAAACATGTATCCAGGTCTTTTTTAGCTCTGCAGCAGCACAAAAACCACATGACCACATCAATTTGTTCAATTCTGTGTTATAACTAAACGTTTTTCCTTTCAACATCCATACAACTTGTTGACAGAGGATTATTTTAGTTTTAGAATGTCTTTCTTTGGAGACAAAGAAGCACACACAAACACACTCCAGTTTTATTTCTTGCTTCTTTAGAGTTTAGTTTCTAACGTGGACTTTCACTTTTTAAGTGTTTGGACATTTCGATGCATACCGTGACAAAGCTCAGGCTGTTTGAATTGTTTGTTGCATGTTTTTCTTGCAGGTGCTTAACAGCCTAATAGAAATTCCAAACCATGTCATTTGTAATCAGGAAAGAAAAATCTCTAATCTGCTTAGAGTGCTTTATGGCATGTGGGAAATTCTTTGTTTGAAAATGGGATTAATTTTGAAGGATTCTGTTGAGAAACCATCATCACAACATCCTGTAGTTTGCTCCAGGGGTTATTGATCCAGACTGGGCCAGCTGACCTCTTTTCTAGGAGGTTAAAGCAAAACTGTTATTAGTGGCACTAATATTGATGAGTGATTTGAGACAGTTTCAGGACTGGGCATTCTCGCTCATCAGCTTTGAAGTAGGTCAGAAACCCCTGCTCCTAACATTCTCTGTAACATCAAAGCAGCTCATCCCGCCAATACCACCACAGAGATGATGTAAGCGCCGTACAGATTAACTCACAGATGTCTGCACTCTCACTACTGTATTATATCCAGTCACCGTCGGTTCTTGCTTATCAGTATTCTCCTGCTGTCACACACAGGCACACTCCAGCTTGCAGACACTGTGCTGAGAGAACGGACAGACTCTGCACGGACAGCTGTTGAATTGATACGATTCTCATATTTGCCCAAAGCTAGAGAGGGATATGTTTAGCTTAGCATAGCACAATGACTGGAAACAATTCAAACTAACTTAGTGTTTTTCCCAGGCAGGCATGCCCAAATTGAAGTGCTCCATCCTTTCAAAAATAATCGTTCTCCTCATTTTTTTTTAATACTTGCCGTTTGGAGATTTTCCCCTGCCGCCTAGTGATTACTGTCCAACTTGCATACGTTTTTGGCTTATCCTGCCACTCCATGTTCCTGAAATATCACCAGCTTCCACATGTAAAATCATTCAAATGACCTCTATACATGTCAGTTATATATAACAGGCCAACCGTCAAGGACATGCACACATACTGTGCCACAAATGTTGCATGTGAGCCCAATTCAGTAAGACCATTTAACAGTAATGTAAAAGAGAGATAAGCTATGGTCTGTCTACGTGGAAAAGGTGTTTTGCTTCGGCTCCGACTTTATCTGAGCTGCAGGAAGCTGGTCACACAGGGACGACCCGAAGGCTTTCCTGTCCCATCTGAATCCTCTTCCTCCTTTACTCCTTAGAACAACAGCGTGCCAGAGAGGAAGCATGACACGGACGGAAAGTTCCTGAGCCAAACAAACACAAAACTGTTTCCCGTCGTAAGAGGGGGGGGGACGGGAGGAGAGGAAGAGTCATGTTCCCTGAAGCTTCCCAGGACATAATAATCGGTCTGTTATGCAATCACAATCGGGACTCGATTGACGTTAAAGACCACGATACCCAAAGTAGGGAGGACTGCTCACAGGAGGGCACGGAATCAACGTTCACACAGAGAGCAGAGTCGCTTTAATGGGCATCTACCACTATCTCTTCTAAAATCAGGAACATCTGGCTGCCTGTAAAGAACATGCACACCGCAAAAATAACCCTGCTTCAGGTGAGTGCGAGCGCCCCTTTGATCGCATGTCCTTGTCAGATCATTAGATGAAGCATATGGGTAATCCCAGGCCACACAACAAGGTCTGCAGCAGATTTGCTGTCAATATGTGTCTGCCGTTTGGGTCAATTAGTCAAATATTCAATTACTTTTCTGTGTTAATGGCACCAACATCAAACAGTGACTGGACACACACATGCCCCCGGTCCAGGAACCAGGATTTGGAATAGTAATGGAACTTTTTCTAGATGCTATTTGTTTTTATAAAAAACACGTCCAGGAAAATGCCTTTCCACACTTTCCCAGAATCATGCCGGTGTTTCTCCCATATCAAACTATTTTTTTTTAAGTATTGTTATGTTTTTTTATTTCATTTAATTTTGGGACACCACAGATGAAAGTTTAGATTGGATGATCCAATGTTTATAATATAGGTCGGATTAATTTAAGAGTGGACAGTCTTAGGGTTGAGGACACGGCTTGTGTGATGTCTGTGTTGAGAATTAGAGGA